AGAGATCGACACTCGTCTCCTCTTTTCTTTTTTGGCAGCTTGTTGTCAAAACCTGAACGAAACCAGCGAAGGAGCTCGACTTCACCATCACGCACTGAAGGAAAAGGCTGATCTCATTTGCAACTGGTTTGTTTCAAAGTACCCGTTTCGTTGACCAAAGTGCCCTCCTCAGTAACAAAGTGCAATCATGACCTGCCTCTTCCCATCCAACGTGCAAAAGGACTGATAGTTGGGAAAAAAAAGCACTACTGCAGAAATTACAGGGTGGGCCGGGGGAGGGGGGACTCTACATCACATGCATGTTCTCTTAACGCAAAAGGCTCAATGTGCTTGTATGGAAACTAAAGTTGGATTCTGGAGTTTATTATTGTTTAAGACGGACAAATCCAAACGTATGGAGTCGCTGACAATATTCAAACACATATGTCAGCTCTGGTGTTTTCCCCTTCTCTACAGGATACCTGGACCCAGTGAGCATGTGTGTGTGTTAGCGAGACAAAGTGTATTGGGGCTGGCAGCTCAGGGTGCATGTTTGAACAGGCTGTGGCTGACTCACACACGCTGATGATGTGGCCAGAGGGACCCTGGCTGCCACGCACACACACACACACGCACGCAAACACAGTCGCACACTAAACTGCCAGCACCAGGCGTCCTCCCCACAGTAACACCAGGCTCTAATATAATAATATCCCCTCCAGGCTGGTTCGGGGGCATTAGAGGACTACAGAGGGAGAGGGAGCGAGAGAAAAGGCCTGATTTGATCCCCTCCTGCCTGGAAACGTGGCTGAGCTGGGGGAGATTATTTTTTGGAATGCAACAGACATTGCGAGATCCCCCTCCCCTTCCCTCGATCCCCTCCCCCATCAACCAGCTGCAGCTGCGCTCCTATTTGGCCTCCCAACTTGGACAGGTATTTATTGCTCTCTTCATCATACAGGTTGCCTTACGGTTGTGTGGTCCCCAGGGCAAAAAGATTGGAATAAGCATAAACCTCCTCGCACATCAGCCCGCTTCCTTTAAATATTACCTCTCCCTCAGTTGGATATCTTTAGTAAAGCTGTGCAAACATAGAAAAAAAGGTGCTCGTCTATCTCTTCGTACTCTTTGTCACTCTCTCACTCAGGCTCCTTTAACCTGCGGTTGGTTAAGTGCTACCCGCGCCTTGTCACACAAGGACAGAATCCGAAAAACTGCAAAAAGTTAAGCACATTCATTCAATCGACCCCCTCGTCCTTTGGGCAGGAACTTTACATATCAAGTGTTAAGTTTAGGACAAATGGGTGAATCAATGCTTTTTTTTTTTCTTTTCCTCTCTCATCGAACATTCATACAGTTTGTTTTGTTCACCCACAAGCTTCACTCTCTGAGAAATATGACATCAAGCCTACGAGGAAAAGAAATGTGATTGGTAACTACAACTCAGCATTAAGAGGGGCCAATGTCATATCACCACCTGCTGTATATACATGTATACAATAATAAAGTGTCAAGTACCCAAAGCAGTCAAAAAAACATAAAATGTTGAGAAACAAAAATTAAGACAAAATCAAAAGGGCGAACAAACATATTGACACTGCAGGGCTGTGAGGGATAAGAGGCCACGTAGTAAAGCCAACACGTACATTGACAATGGTAGTGCTTCAGAAACACAAACCCTCCACCCCTCGTATTCCCGAGTCCTGCAATTGGCGAGCCCCCATTAAAGTGGATTTGACTCAAAGTGAATTTGCTTTTCAGTAAGACAAGCCATAGATTCTTAAAATGCATTTTAGAGAGTAAGTAACACTTCAATCAAACCCCTGCCTCATTCTTTCTGGAACATTTAGAGAAGAAAAACTGTTGCATCAAAACTGTGGCGAGTTTTCCTTGCATATGCCATATTGTGGCAATGGTGTTTCTATGGTAACTGTACATTTCAGACCTGCAAAGAATAGAAAAAGAGTTGTTTTCATTGGGAGGATTTGTTCTCGCTTCACCCGTACAGCAGCCAGAAGGTGCTTGACAGACACCTTTCTTAGAGCTTGAAGGCTGTGAGGACAAAACCAATAAAAATCTAAATCAACTGCATAGTTGCTCAGAGTTCCTTTGTATTTATCATACATTTGCCTAAGCACATATGCCACATATGTATAAAAACCCTATTATTACAAAGAAAGAAATGACCCAGAAAGTGGACGTGATGGGTGCATGATTTGAAGCGTTCTTTGCTCTTTAACAAATAAACCAACTTAAGTGCTTGCAATTCTACGCCGTGTCCTAAGTAATAGGAGAAAGAAATATAAAGATTAGATTTTTGTGACACCCTGATTTGGTTTATAGAGGAATAGTTAGTTGTTTGTTGTAGTTTTTTTTTTTTGTAGTTTTTTTTAAATTGCCTTTGCATCTTTTACTCCTGTCTGTTCATTGGCCTGTCTCACAGGCGGTGCAGAGTGACTATGGTGTCCAGCAGTGTCCTTGTCTTCCCTGCAGTCTCAGGGCCCTGCCTCCCCTGCTAGCTCCTGCAGCTGAGGACTGTGTGCGTGTGCTCCAGCAGCAACCTCCACCTCCGCTGCCGAGGTCGACTCCGATCGCCGCCTTCCCCTGATGGTATGAGACCCGGGGCCGGTGTCGGATCCGGGGCTAAGCAGGCCCGCGGGGGCCTCGAGGAGCCCTGGCTCTCTCACGCGAGGTTTCCGGCCTCGACGGGAGGGGATGCCGTTGCAGCCGTCCTTCTTGAGGTGGCGGTGCAGGTGATCCGAGCGCACAAAAGTCTTAAAGCAGCTCGAGCACTGATAGGGGCGCAGGCCGGTGTGTACACGCATGTGGTTCTTCAGGTCGTAGTTGTGAGCAAAGGCAGCTCCACATTGTGTACACAGGTAAGGCTTCTCTCCTGTATGCTTCCGCATATGAACCTTGAGCTTGTCCTGCCTGAGAGGGAGAAAAATAAACACGGTCGAGTAAGAATACAAAGGCAAAGAATCTGCTGCACTAGAAGATTGGTTCACACCCATTTGAATGCACTTAGTGCACACAGCCAACTTCAGGTTCTAATCACTCGTGCAATATCACGTACAAATACACAATTAACTCAAACTATATTATTAATTCTCACACGTACAGTGGCCAGCTTTATATGCTTTGGATGGATTTATTTCCCATTTAAGAGCCATCTCCTGGATCTACTCCAGTTCCGTTAAGCTACCCTATCTAACTGACGAGAAGCCATAAACTTAACCTTTTTGTGTAAATGCACGCAAGAGCACTATTGCTAAATGATAACAATATCAGTTTTATGTCAGCGTTTTACGGCTTTTGTTAACATGTATTTGATGACAACACAACAACAATTGACAGATTGCATAAATGTTTAATGGAGACTTGAATTTCCTCTGCAGCGCAACGGTACCAGGATAATTTGGAAAGAGCTGACATTTATTGTGGAGTAGTACTGTAGTACTGAATGCAGCTCAAGTTTGCAGCTTATATTTATCCACAAGAGTCATACTGGGACCGACTTTTGTAGGTGTCGCACATGAGCAAATATAACGGCTCATGTGGAAAACTTGCTTTCCAAAGAATTGTGAGGTCTACAACACTGCAGTCAAAACAACATACAGCATGACTCTATATCAAAACGCATCTCATAACACGAAACTATTTGACTTTCCAATGACACCACCTACTAAATTTTTATCAGACTTCTTTGGCCTTCATCTGACTCTTGTCCTTCCCTCCCCCCTTTAGCACTTACTATCTCTCCAGCTCCGAGCTCTTAAATCGCCTAACCCTTCTGTACCGAGGGCAGAGGGCTTCTAAACAAACAAGCGTAGTTAAGACAACTGCATCTGAACACATACACACCCACCCACAGGTGTGTGTATGCAAGTGCCAGGTAAGTGGATTAGCTGTCATACAAGGAAACAAATAAACCCACTGCAACTCTCAGAGGTCTGTATACCTGCGCCCTAAATAGAAATGTTAACCAAGAAACGCATGTGTGCACACACATACACAAACACATGATGCAGACACATAGTTAGGGTGAAGCATTGGAACAAAGTGGCATACTGACAGAGGTGAATTATTTAAAGGACAGGGGTGATTTATTACTGTGCGATGCACACTCTTAACCCTGTTCAAACAGGATTAAGATTACAGTGCCCCCATCCCACTGCCAATCTGAATTTACGTAAATTTAGATTGGTCTTCCCTACCTGCCAGCAGAGGTTTTGGCTATTTCTAGCCAACTGTATCTATTTCCAGCACAAGTCCACCGATTAATTAATTAAAGGAACGATTTCATGGAAAAGTTAAGACTTAAGTAAGAGGAAAACATGTGCACTCGAGTACCCTTCTGTAGCCTAGTCACATTTATTTGAGCAGGACATGGCAGATTTCATTAGAGAGGTAAGGGAGTGACAGAAAGAGAGAGGAGGGGGTGGCGTAACTACTCTGCCGTGGGCAATAATCAACATAACCAGAGATCAAAAGTTCACATTACTGCATTGGAGCACATAGAGCACCATCCAGCGCCTGTAATCCCCCTCTGTATCAGAGCACAGCACTTTATAGCAGCCTTCCACTAGATAACACTACCATGGCACTGCCTTCTTTTATAGGACCCCTACGTTAAAATTCCAGGACTTTGCTATGAAGGCTGTCACAATAAAACAGACCTTTACAACCCTCCAGCCCCCTCTCTCTGACCTGAAAGATTCTACGTGGCGTTGTTATTAACATTCAGCTTCAATGTTATGTCAGGAAAAATCCTGGTTAGGGCCTAATCACTCCATCTTCACGTAAATACACACGCACACACACAGCTTCACAAGCTGCACTGTCTACTTAATACAAAGCTAAGTTGGTTAGCGCTAATACTCCTGCTCTTGGCTTTGTGTTTCCCCGCTGCTGGCCATTTTGTCAACAGTGTCCAAGACTATTAGCACATGTGACTTGAGGAAGTCTCTTCATTAATTGGGCTTACCTGGTAAAGCGCACTTTGCAGATGGCGCATTCGTAGGGTTTCTCTCCCGTGTGCGTTCTGATGTGACGCGGGAGCTTGCCTGCCCCTTGAATGACCTTGGAGCATATGGGGCACTTCTGGAAGGCCTTGGAGCGCATCTTCCGTTCTCCTCCACCCCCACTGGCTCTCTCTCCAACCCCCCTCTCTGCTCCTACTCTGTCTTGGGCTGTACTGCCTCTTGATAACCAGAGTGATGGCACTCCCTGCGTTACAGCGGATGACGCTGTATCTTCGTGCTGTGTACTGCTAAAATAATTCAAGTAAAATTCCATGTCAGGGTCATCGCCATCTCCCTGGTCCTCACCGGTCGTAGCACGCTCTTTCTGCCTCTCGATGGAGTCCATCATCTGCTGCAGGAGGGCACTTGCTGAACCCCTCTCCGTTATCATCGCCTCCCTACAAGCGTCCTCCGTTTCGGGCTCCTGCCCCAGCCTAGAATTGTGAGGGAGGTAGAAGTGTCCGTTTTGGGACGGAGGGTAGTATGAGGACCCCAGGGTTCCTCCGTTACCCTGCACCGCGTCCCCATCCTCATCTTCATCCTCATCGTCGTCTTCTTCCTCTGGTTCCTGTTTAGGGACCTGGGACAAGGCGAGGGCCAAGGGGGAGTAGTACTCGCTGGGGCCAACAGGGGCCCCGTTGCTGGGGGTGCCCCCGTTACCATGATTAAAGTGCAGGTGTGCGGTGGGCAGGTCCCTGAGCTCCGGCGTGCTGCAGCTGCTGCTCCAATGTGCCCCTCTCTGGAAGTACTCCAGATACTCTCGGGCCCGCACCCGGTTCCCCTGCTCCCTTCCTCCTTTGCCTTTCCCATCCTCATCTTCACCCTCATCTTTTCGCTCACTGCCCGCCTAAAAATAAGAACAAACAAAGTGTTACAAGCTTGTGAAAAAACACACAAATAAAAACATAAAGAGAAGACGGACTAAAGGCAGAGGAGGAAATGCATGTTTAAAATAAAATGTTTTAAAATGTTTATCAGATGCAATAGGATGATGCGTGCGGACCTGTAGGGTCTGATGCTTTTCAGCACTGACTCTGTATCCTGGATGCAAACAGAGGCGCTCAGTACGCTCATGGGTATTAGTATGCGCAATGAGAAAATGAAAACTAATTGGCAAAGAACATTCATGCCCGGTGTATGTATAAAACGAACAATAACGCAGCACACGATCATGTGTATGTCTTCGCTGCCGTACTCTGTAACTCTTAAAAACACCAGTCTTGAAAAAGGTTGTCAAGAGGCTTCAACTTTTGATAAAATGTAACAACAGATGTTAGAAAGCTTCCAATAATGATTTGACATCACGTCATCTTATCTCATGATGTAAAGCATTATCCATGCAGTGCAGCATGTCACAGCTACACTTGATCACGTTGAAGTGTAGTTGCAATGTGCTGTGTCTGTACTCTGTTAAAGAGCATGCTGTCCCTCCATGAATGCTGTTGGCTCAGAATGAGTAAGCGCTGAACTAACCCCACGGCTGTGGGAGTGTGTTTGGCATAGTGAGAGAAACTGATAAAGGCCGTGATATAAGCTTCACTATGCTGAGCATTAATTGAAGTTGATGGCTTAATGACAGGGTGGCCCTTTGACCGTGTGAATGAATCAGTTACTTGGATAAAGTACAGTTCATGCCTCAATTTGAATTGTGACACAAGTTACTTTAGCATTAAAAGTCTCGTACCGGCGGGGAGAGCACTTTGGTGTCCAGCAGGTGTGTACAGACATCCTGGACAGGTGGGATTTCCAGGAGACGTGCAGCAGCAAGGATCTCAGCCACACTGCTGTGACTGACTGTCAGCGTGGCCGTGTAGGCAAAGTCCAGCAAAGCTCCCAGAGCCTCCGCTGCCACAAAGTCGATGTTGTAGATGTTCTGTTGGTCGGCGGCTACCCCTGACGTGAAGAGCTTGTGGAAGTAGGTGCTGCAGGACGCCAGGACGGAGCGGTGAGCTGGGAACTCCCGATCTTGGGAAACCAGGAGCACGTCACACAGCAGCCCGCTGAGCCGCTGCTTGTTCAGGCTGCCCAGTATGTCTGCGCTGTGTTCAGGGAAAGGGATCCCCACAGGACCTTCCTCCGCCTCTCCCGCTCCACCTCTCCCTCCTCCACCCCCACTGCTTGCTATCCCCCTGAGCCGCCTTCCGCCCCTCCCGCCGGCTCCTAACGACATCTTCCACCAGCCTGCCGCCGAGCCGCCTAGCACAGCCCCCACCCGTGTATCCGTCCTGTCGTCTGTCCGTCTGCCTATCTGAAGGAGAGTAGAAACAGGTGGAAAAGAAAAAGAGGAAATTAGCAGACAGGTATTACATGGACGCAGAAAGAGAAACAAACATGTATTACCTGAATCAAAAGTTTGCGGAGGCCTTATTTGAAAATTATTTAAATATCAAGCACAAGAACGGAGAGCTCTCAGTTCACAGTACGCAGCTGGTAAAAATACACGCATAAAGATTTTTAAATATCTTTGGAAAAACTGCAAAAACATCTACAAACTTGGGCCATATCTGGTAGCCCAAAAATTGACAATATTGTCAAATATAAAACTGAATGTACAATTAGGATGCTTCCATTTGAGCTTTGAAGCAACATGTGAATACAGTCAAAACAATTTCATTTCTTAAAAATTGTCATAACCAGCCTAATATGACACCATTTGAATACAGACTTTTTTCTAGCCTATGATCTTCAACCAAATAAACTGTACTGACTTTTCCAGCCGGTTAATAAAAATTTCTAATGAGTCACTCATCTTTATTCATTAATTTCTTGGCAGTTCAAAAACTTCTCTGCTGCTTTTTCACACCAACATGTCGAGAGTTTCTGTGAAAATACATCAAACCTTCCCAGAACCACATACATCAAAATCTTCATGATATGCTGCTTAAAAATAAAAAGAGCCTGCTATAAACCTGACTGAAACCAAACTTCACCATGAGCATTTCACACTTGCCAAATTTGCTGAACGCTGTGAACAATTTACTTTGTTCAAGCAGATTGGTTACAAACTCTGTGCAAAACAGGACTGTTACATATATTTGGTGCAACGAATTAGTTTCTAATGGTGCTGAATAAACAGTAGCCTGCAACAATTTACATTTGGGTCAACAATTGGGTGAAGATGTTTGGACTGCATCCATGCAGGTGGCTAGGAGCCCATTTCCTTGTATACACGCCCACATCTATGGGAGTGTGCATGCACTTGTGCAAGGAATCAAGTAAGAGGTCGTGGAGGACAGATAGGCAGAGGGCTGTGGGGATCAGAGTGCATGCTGGGAGCTGGGCTGTGCAGGCTATGCTCTCTGTGTCGGTGGAGAGCCAGAGAGGGAAGTGAGAGAGGTGGAGGAAAAGAGGTGGAGGGGAGGGGGGGCTGCCACAGCAGACCCTGTGGAAAAAACTCCACAGGAGGAGGAAGAGGACACGCAACAAGCTGCGAGGGAACGGTATTAAAAAGGGAGGTTGTCAATCCGGTCTGAGCTGGTTACCCCACCCTGTACTGTGTGCCAAGTTTCAGAAAAGGCCTGTCCCCTCGCTCACATGTGGGGGGAGATTAAAATGATCGACTGAAGCCTGCGCAGTGGGAGGGGGGTTTCGGCAGAACAAGCCATCCTTGATTTCTCTATGAACGCACGGGCACACAAAATACTGTAACATCAATAACATATCAAACACACACATACAGACTCCAACCCTTTCCCCCCTTCTCCATCTGCCAGGGAGACCCAGCAGGGGGCAGCGGGTGGTGGTGGGAAGCAGGGATGTGTTGCATGTGCTGCTCTCTACGAGAGCAAGGCATTGAAATGACATTCCTTCAGATCAGACCTTCTGGTGTGTTTGTACACTACACCCCACTAACAAACCTGCCAAACCTGGCTGCCTCTCCTCTTTTGTCCCAGTTCACCCATGGTAACCTCTCCTTCTCTCTCCTCTGGAAAAATCTGATGACACACCTGAGATTTGGCAACATGTCACCTTTGTACAAATAAGCAGATGCATGTTTAAGCTTATTATGAGCAACTAAATAGGTCAATGATTTTTTTTTTTTGTTGCATTAATTACCCCAAAATTTAAAAGCTTCTACATCCAGAGATCACACATAAGACTGATTTACGTAGTTACATCGTTGTGCTGTGTTTGATTAGTGCTAAATATGTAATGGCTCTACCATTTCTTTATTATTTGCTGTAATTCTCTCTTAACTCAATTCAGTTTTGATAGGCAGCTGACCAGAAAGCCTCTGCAAACACTGCCAACGTCTTTTGCAAAGCTCTGATAGAAGCGGACTGTCAGACATGGCAAGAGCAAATTTTATTATCCAACCCCTCATCTGAATATGTTGAGGGAGGGGAGGGAGATGAGAGCAAAGACAAAGAGAGATGACACGGGAGGGAGAGAGCGAGCACGAGCGCTGTGAGATGGAAGAAAGAGCAAGAGAAAGGGCAACCACATGGCTACCGGTCACGTCCTTCGCAGGTGGAAATAGATCTCTGTGAGCCCATCCAGACCCGAGCCAACCTGCTTTTCTCTAACACAGATCTACAGCACCTGCACTAGACCAGACAAGCTTGTATAGCACGCTATCCCCCGCACATACAAAGCTGACCCTAGGTCACGGCTTTTTGGGGTAAAGACGTTGAACTGAGAGGAGATAAAGAAAGAAAAAAAAACAAAAAAAACCACGCATACATGCGCAAACTTGATTCAGCGCCAATGAAGCGCGGAGGCACCACTCCGCATGCAAAAGCCACCTGTCCTCAAATAAACCTACAAAGAGCACTACGAAAGAGGAAACACAGTGCAACAAACCTGATCCTGACACCTCCTCATGGCTTGAAACATTCCTTATCACTAATTCATGCCTGTGGGTGACAAGGCCCACAGCCCGGCACAAAGCAGCGCAGCAGCTGTCCGTGTCCCTGGTGCTCCACTTCCAGGGTAGGGCTTCCTCTCAATGCTCAGTCCATGAGCACCCAGGCCTGCTTTGCAAGTCAAACACGTCCTTTAAAATAGGACCTACCCAACCCTTCCCCGCCCTCATCACCTTCATTTCATCTGTAATCTGCCCCTTCCCATATATCTGCACACAACGGTCGTTTTTGACTTTCTGTTTTGCTGTTGTTTCGGTTGACTGTGCAGTGACCTATGCATTAAATATCTTTGCCAAGACAGTTGTACCCGATTTTAGTCTCACTCGCAGACAAACACGTTATGACGGGAAGCGCGGGTATTTAGTAAAAGCAGTAGTATTTTGGCCGACACACATCATCTGTGAAACATACCACTCATTCCAAAATACAAAAAAAAACAAAAAACAGTCTGCGCAATCTCAGGTGGTTTTTAGATGAGAAAATATATTGCCTAATGCACACAACAACAAAAAAGCAACCGAAAAACAACCGTCAACCAAATTTCACAGCGAATACCACATCAGTATCTGTCTGTTATTCAAAACTTTCAGTTACCTCTTTCTTAAACTTGGAAAACATGAAAATTTGTAATTGGCTCATAAAAATATTACACAACTCAAAAGTGCTGAGAAATCTGCCTTTAAAAGAGAACAAGCAGAACAAACATGAGTGAATTAAAGAGCCCTTAAACTATAAATGCTAATGGAGCATGTAGCAGCCATGTTTTAAAAGTGCAATGCAGGAAAGTTATTAATTTTATCTGTTTGTAGTCCTAGACTTTTTACATGAGAACAATTATTTCTCAATTTTACTCGGGTGAAGACTTTATGCATTCACCATCTCATTCGCTATCCAAGTAACTCATTTATTAGGACCTCAAGTGTTTGTATAAAGACTCGAGGAAACTGCGGCTCCAGAAATGAAAACGTGAAAAATCTTTGCATCTGGTTGGCCCTATGGTCCCGTCTATTCTTCCATAACATTTAAAAAAAAAAAAAAATCATATCTCTTTCTCCCTTGCCCTTATTTCACAAACTGACTCAACTGTTTTTGCCTCTATGGCAACAACCAAGGGAATCACTTTACTCAGGTCAATAAAGTTCAAGGTGGGACAAAGAGGACATCGCAAGATAACTGGAATGAGGAGGGGGGTGGCAGTTCCTAGGAAAAGTGGATTTTGATCAAGTGCCACAGCTAAGTGACTCATTGCTGCCAGCAGTGGAAGGAAACCTGATTGGTCATATTGGGAGCGAAGCAGGAAGAGCGTAAGCAACTGATAAAACTGAAGCTGCGAGGGCTGGCCTAGGCCTGGCAGCTTTCACTAGAAACTAACCATGGAAGCACTGCCAAAACATAGACACAAAGCCAGTGAAAAGGTGGTGGGTGAGGCAGGGCGTTAAACTTACAAGCTCGCTCATAACTCATGAGCACATGGAGGCCCAGGAATCCGGCTCAGATGTCAATGATAAACTCAAGAGATCTCATTCGGTTACCTGGTATAACCTGTTACAATAAGTGGAAAGGTAACCACCCACAAGTGGGGCAAAGTTTAGTTTGAGGAAGCCAGCAGGGGGATTTATGATTTCCTTAAAGAGTGTTCGTGCTGCCGTACAGCTCCAGAAGAGAGACATGTAGCTGCTGTCAATGATGTGCAGAAGCCCTCAAACTGTTCTGAATTTGCATGGTTTTATTTTCCTGACCGTTTGCACTGTAGTACTCAGACCCACAGCCTACTAAACACACAAACAAATAAAAACAAAACTGTGATTCACTTTAGCATGACACATCGAAATGACTGCTCTCGCAATGCACACAATAACAGAAGTATATTTCTTTTTGCACCTGGACATCTTCTCTTATTAGACAGCATTTTACTTAAAGCATATGTAAATGATGTTCTGATGTAGTTAAAACTCCTGAAGTAGCAGTCTAAATAAAAAGGGACCTTCTTAAATAAAACACTGTTGCATGCACTACAAATCTTGTTTTGTGGTCACTAAATGTAGAAAGAAAATACCACGCTGGTAGATAATCAAATCTTTCAGATTTTTTTTTTACAAGTAAAGCTTTAACTTCAACAATTCTTTAAAGCCAGTTACATTTTTGTGGTTTTGATGACAATTTCGTGCCGCTGATCAGAATTATAACACATGGTAGGGAGACTAGCTTCTCTCAGGCTGCAGCATAATAAAACCACATCCACAGTCTGAGTTCCTTTTAGTGTGAGTAACATGGTTCGACACTGTCATGCTGCCAACCAGGAAGTGTATGAAAATCTAAGACGTGCCTTCAGAAACCGCACTACACCCCTACACTGCGTCGTCCGGCACAACTTGAGCTGGCCAATCGGTCGGTCCGCAGGCCCAACATGCCCCGGCTGCATCGCTCTGTGCATGCGCAGTCCAACGGGGAAAGAGGACTTCCTGTGAGTCTGTTGCAGGCGTGTAACAGAACCCGCTCTGTTATCAGATGACCAGCTCTCTGCTTGCTCGATCTCTCTGTCCCTACTGTCTGACCCCCCCTCCACGTACACACCACCGCCTCCCCCTTCCTCTCATCTGTCGCTCTCATCTCATCATTGCTCCATCTCTGTCTCAGAGTCTGCACTGCATAGTATCCACCACATCACCCACTTCCCCTTTCCACTGCTGAGGAGGCAAAGCAGCGCAGACCAACCCACCCTCCCGAGTATCACCATCCCCTAATGCATCCCACCCATCGTCTCTCTTGTTTCATTGCAAACCGATTCTCTAAATCAACGTGCGGACAGTGTCAGTTTGGTCTCACATCCTCCTTCCTGATCACTTGGCCTTTCTGCTTAATTAAAAATGAGCCTTTGGACTCTGTCCTGCAGTTCTTAATATCAACTTCACAATAAATTAAAGTGTTGACAGAAGCCTGCCGCCTTCGACTATTCCATGGTTTTTACTTGATATTGAAAAACCCTCGCTTAACAAAACATTTAACTCCCCAAGTGTGGAAATTCAAGTCTAGCTTCACCCCCCCGAAAAACATCTCAGCCTTTTACTCTCCCACTCTAATTTGATCAGGTTGTGTTGGCCTCTCCATAATAAATGTCCCAGAAGAGAACAGAAGAAGCCCCTTTACTCCCCCTAGACTTCAGCACAACAACAGAAAAACAACAGAGAGGGGTCTGTCTGTCTAGCCAGGCTGGAAGCTGTGGTATACTAAGCAGCTGACCAGGGGAACCAAACATTAGGGGGAAGTGAAGCTGCATTCACCATGGAGGAGGCTAACCAAACAATATGAACTGGAGATAAATGTGCAAACGCATATAAAAGAGCATGTATAGAGACGGGGCAGAGAAACAGTTTAGCACACAGCACGACAAGAAAATATCAACACGAGTGACACTAGATACTAGAGATTATGTGACCACATGAAAAAAAAGTAAAACTCAACAAACACAATGACTGTTACATGCGATGTACAGTACACAGCCAACATTTCACTCCGAAACGAACCCTCAAACTGCCACGGCGACATCACGCAACCTGTCTTCTCAGTCTGTCTGAACCTGCTAGTTTTGGGCCATAGTGGTGTAGGCACAAACATACAGGAATATCAAACTGTATTCAGCCTCACCGCCAAATTGATGGGTGGTGTCTTGGACCTGCCCACAGCCACTGAAGTCCCCTGCAATTCCCCTGGAGTCTATTGTTGGTAACACAGACGCACACGCATGCGTGCACACACCCATACAAACACATATGGCGTCCTAGTTTAACCTCTTGCTGGAATTCTCTTGAAATAACTATACTTTTCTGACACAGTAGTACCTAAGAAATAACACAGCACAACATCAGCGCAACATTTACTGTAACTAATACATACATGCATTTGTTTGTAACACTAGGCTAAATAGAAAATATTGCCTGTCACCTTCTGAGAAACATTCCAAACACTTTCCCAGCACTTGGGCGTCTTCGTGTACTGCGCTCTGCTTGTACCCTCTCCGTGCCCACACACTTAAAAAA